ATTAGTTTTGCTATGATACTATTAAAATGTTCCCAATTCACAAAATGTCATAAGGGTATGTGTGATTTATTAAGTGCTTAGAGCTCAGGGAATAGCACTATGTGATTATTTTTATGTTCACAGTCAACATGGAAGGCATTCATGCAAGCATGTAGTGAACAGACATTTTTTGAGCACCTGCTGTACTGTTCCCATGGAAGGGATGCAGCAGAGAACAAAACAGATGAAATGTCCTCATGGAGTGTGTATTCTGGTAGACAGGTTGTGAACAAGCAAGTATATCATGTCAGGGGGTAAGTACTATAAATCAAAGTGAAAAAAAAAAGCCCCAGCTGATGTGGTGTGACTCAGCTGGTTGGAGCTGGTCAGGGCACATGCTGAGGTTATGGGTTCGGTCCCTGATTCCCCTGGTCAGGGCATGTTCGAGAGCAACTGACTGATGTTTCTCTCCCACATAGATGTTTCTATCTCTTTCTCTCCATCTATCTTCTCCTCTCTCTAAAATCAATAAGCATGTCCTCCAGTGATGGTAAATAAAAAAGAAAAGTAAATAGAGCAAGGGAGATAAAGGAACGGGGCTGATGGGGTGAGCAGCCATTTCATACAGTGTGGTCAGAGAAGACCCCATCCACAAGACACCTCTGAGCCATATCTGAGGGAAGTCACATGTGTGCCTGGAGTAAAGTGTTCATGGTAGAAAGTGTTCATGTCCTCATGACAGAGGACAGCAAGTGCCAAGGCCCTGCCTTAGGCTGAAGTGCTGTCAAAGAACAGCAGGGAAGCTACTATGGCTGTGGCAAAGGGAGAGGGGTAAAAGCAGAAGGAAACGAGGCCAGAGAAGGAAGAGGGGTGTAGAGGGCAGGCAGAGCATGTCAGGCTTACTGGCCGTAATAAGAAGTTTTGGCTTTATTCTAAGAGAAATAAAAAGTCATTGGAAGTCACTTTGGGCAGAGGAGTGATATTATGTGACTTATTTTTTAAAATATTACTCCAACTGCTGGGTAGAAAATAGACTGAGAAAAAGGCAGGGAGATCAGATGAGAAGCTACTATAGCAATCCCGCAAAGATGGCTTGTGGCTTTGACCGAAGCAGTAACCGTGGAGGTGGTGACAGGAGGTCAGATGTTGGGTGTATTTTATTTATTTTTATTTTCTATTTTTTCTTAGAGAGAGAGGGGAAGGGAGGGAGAAAGACAAGGAGAGAAACATCAATCGGTTGCCTCGCGCACCTGCCCTGACCAGAGGCTGAACTTGCACCCTAGTTTGTGCCTTGAGGGGGAATCAAACCTGAGGCCTTTCTGTTTGTGGGACATGACCCAACCACCTGATCCATGCCAGTCCAGGCAGATCTTGGGTATATTTTAAAAGGTAGAGCCAAGGAAGTTTGCTAATAAATTTGAACCGATGTGTGAGAGAAAGAGAAGAGTCAAGGATGACTACAAGTGTACAGAAAAGTAATGAAATATTTCCTGACTCTCCATACAGAACCAGCCTTGCGTTTATATTTCTATTTATCGCATTGTATTGAAATGACTTGTTTATATATCTGCTTCCTTACTAGGCTCTGAGCTTCTCAAGGGCACAACCCGGATCTTATTGATGAATGATGAAGTTTTTATTACCCCTGGAAGTGAGGGAGAAAGTGAGGATTAGAGGGTAACGTGCATCACCCGAAAGGCAAGAAGGCAGGCAGGCAGTTGCTGCAGAGCTGCGACTCCCTAATTCACTTAAGCCTGAAAGCCTGATGGGGAGGCTGTAGCTCCTTGCCTTGCTAATGTGGATCCAGGGAAATCTGGCATAAGAAAGAATTCCTAAACAATTCTGTGAAATTTGCTTTGCTAACAGTGCTTTCATTCACATGTTAAGGGTCCGAGCAGGAAACCCTAAAGTTTCAGCAAAACCCCCTTCCTGACAGACACTGACTCAGACTAAGCCCTCAGATTTCTTTGAAATGTTATCTACTATTTGATCCTTGCTACCGTGTATTCCTGTGTATCACAACCCAATAAAAGCCTTTAGAGGAAGGGGCTCAAGGCCTTTTTCCTCTGAGAAACTGGCCACCTCTTCTCCCCAAGCAGATCATGCCTTGGTAGTGTTTACTTTCATCCATGGCAGACAGGGGGACTTGAAGGCAAAGTTGCCCCCACATATTATGATTATAATACCTAATACAATGTAAATGCTATGTACATAGCTGTTTTACTATGTTGTTTAGGGACTAAGGACAAGGAAAGAAGTGGGTACTTGTTCAGATGCAACCATTGTAGGCTTAAACGTAGTACATGTCAGTAAGAATGTAAAATTTTTTTCTGAAATTTTTTTAAGCAAGTAGTTTTAAAAAAAGATTTATTTATTTTTAGACAGAGAGAAAGGAGGGGAGAAAGAGAGGGAGAGTAACATCAATGTGGGAGAGAAACATTGATTGGTTGCCTCTCACATGCCCCCAGCTGGGGACATAGCCCTCAACCCAGGCATGTGCCCTGACCTGGAATCAAGTGGCACTGATTTGTGGGACAGCGCCCACTGAGCCACACCAGTCAGAGCTTTCTTGAGTGGCAATCGATTAAATCCATGGATGCTGAACCTGGGATATAGAGGGTTGACTGTACTTACAGTTGAAATTTTTGGACCATGTGGTAACTCTGTGTTTAACATTTTGAGGAACTGCTGAATGGCTTTTCAAAGTAGCTAAAAGTGTACTGTTTTATAGTTTTCTGTAATTATGAGTCTTCCAGTTTCGCATTAACACTTTTTATCCTCATTAACATTTGTATTTGTCTTTTTATTTTAGCCTTTCTAGTGGATGAGAAGTGGTATCTCAGTGTGATTTTGATTTGTATTTCCCCAGTGACTAATGATTTTGAACATCTCCTTATGTGCTTATTGGTCACTTGTATATATTCTTTAGAGAAATGTTTATTCAAATCACTTCCCAATTTTAAAAGTAGGTTACTGGTCTTCTCACTGAGTCGTAAGAGTTCTTTATAAATTTTAGATACAAATCCTTATTAGATTTATGATTTGTAAATATTTTCTCCCATTCCATAGCTTTTATTTTCACTTTATTAAAGTGTTTTGAAGCAAAAATTTCAATTTTGATGAAGTACAATTTTCTATTTTTTTCTTTTATTACTTATGCTTGCACCTACAGTGTCATATTTAAGGAGCCATTGCCTAACTCAAGGTCACAAAGATTTACTCTCATATTTGTTTCTCAGAGTTTTATAGTTTTAGCTTTTGCATTTAGATCTATGATCCATTTTGAGTTAATATTTGCATATGGTGTGAGGTAGGAATCCAACTTTATTCTTTTATATGTGGATATAAGTTGTTCCTGTGCCATTTGTTGAAAAGAGTATTTTTTCCCAACTGAATTGTCTTGATACTCTTGTAGAAATCCAGTTGACTATAAATGTGAGGGTTAATTTCTAGACTCTTAATATTTCATTGATTTATGTTTATCCTTTCAGTGCCACACTTTTTTTTGTTACTGGAGCTTTGTAGAAAGTTTTAAACTGGGAAGTGTGAGTTCTTCCAACATTGTTCTTATCTTTCGAGATTGTTTTGATTATTCTGGGTCCCTTGCATTTGTATATGGATTTTAGGATCAGCTTGTCAATTTCTGCAGAAAATGGCAGCTGATATATTGATAGACACTGTGTTGAATCTGTAGATCACTTTTGGGGAATATTACCATCTTTGCAATATTAGGCCTTCTGATCCATGAACATGGATATCTTTCTACTTATTTAGCAATTTAATTTCTTTCAACAGTGTTTATAGTTTTCAATGAATAAGTACTTCTTTTGTTAGCATTTTTATAAGTATTTTATTCTTTTTGATGTTACTATAAATGGAATTGTTTTTTTAAATTTCATTTTCATATTGCTCATTGCTAATGTATAGAAAAGTTGATTTTCACATATTGATCTTATATCCTGCTCTATAGAAGATTTTTTAAAATTTATTTTTTAATCTTCATTTAGGGACATGCTTATTGATTTTAGAGAGGAAAAGGAAGGGAGAAGAAGGGAGAGGAAGGGAGAGAAACATCATGTGAGAGAGAACCGGTTGTTTGCCTTTCGTATGCAGTCCAATCAGAGACCTCCAACTGGGGACTGATCCCACATCTTAGGAATGTGCCTTCACTGGGAATCAAACCCATAACCTTTTGGCTTATGGGGTGATGATCCAACCAATTGGATCATCATCCCATAAACCAAGCCAGGGCTCTACGAAAGTTTTAACTTCACTGAGGAGTAGAAGTGACATTGGAATTATTTCTAACAGGGCATGAAAAGTTTCTATTGTATGCCATCTGGTCAAATATAGCAGTGACAAAACTACCAATTATCAACCATCTACCATGGTATTTCCTGTGCTTAACACCTCCTAATAACTTCCTATTGCTCTTACAACAAAAAACAGAGCAGAATGCTCAGCATGACTTCTAATGTCCTGGATACTGGGTCCTGGTCTACTCTACAGCCCCATCCCTCATTGCACATCTACTGACCCTGTGTTTCCCAGCCACACTGGCATTCTCTCCTTCTGCTAAATTTAGATGCCTTTAGTATTTTTATTTATAATGTTCCTCAAGCCTTGTCACTATGCTTTCTGAAAACTACTACCAGAAAAGGTAGTTTTCTTCCTAGTAGACAAAATTATAATTTTTCCAATGTTTGTAAATGTCTATCCCACTAAATAGATCATGTCTGTTGTTCACACCTGTGTCACAGCACCTGGCACAGCACCTGGCACATGACAGGAGCTCAGTAAAGGGAGTGGGTAAACTGTGAGCCAGGCACTTTACATGCATAATCTCACTTGTCCTTATGATACACTTTACAAACCAGGAAACTAAGTTTGAGGAGGTGAACTGGTTCAAGGTATCACAGCTGGGTAAGTAGCAGAGACATATCCCAATAAGATCAGTATTATTGTTTGGGAGTTTAACTCCTCTAAGAGAGAAGTACTCATCTTTTGATTTTTTTTTCCAGTGGAGACATTTCAGAAACTGCAGAAAGCAAAAGAGATTTTGACTAATGAAGAGAGTCGAGCCCGCTATGACCACTGGCGAAGGAGCCAGATAGCGATGCCATTCCAGCAGTGGGAAGCTTTGAGTGACTCTGTGAAAACGGTAGGTTTCTCTGTGGGATGAAGTGACTCTAGGAAGCTCAGGCTGCCCATGGATTAGATTTACATAGTAGTTTAGAGTCAATAGGGGCTAGGAGGGAGAAGATCAAGAAGGTGGTAGAATCAGATAGAACTTAATCAATGTCTAGAAAATCCTGTGAAGGGAAATTCAGTGGCTCAGTGCCAAAAAGAGCCCAAGAATGTGTTTGTGAGTCTCTTTGGCTGTTTGATTTGTTATATACACTCCCCATTATTGTTTACTGTTTTATACATTCTGATACCTGAGCTTCTCAAGTTGCTCATATAACACTGCTGAGTTTTGAACAATTGTTCTCCATCTTTTGAATTGATTTCCTCTATCTTTTTAGTTCATATCAGCCTGCTCTCTTCTCGAGGCTTATAAACTCCATAAAAAATAGTGTCTAATTAATTAAAGAAAGCTATACATTATTTGTATATTATTTTTGTTATAAATTCTGATGAAAGAATTATTGGATAGTTGTAGAGGGACTTTAAATCAGTGTGTTACTTTTCTTCATGCCATTAAAATAACCCCTAAATATCAAAATAATCACCTTACATTTAAAAATTATATTTTATTGATTATGCTATAACAGTTGTCCTGATTTTTCCCCTTTTCCCCCCTCTACCCAGCACCCACTACTTCATCAGGCAATCCCCCTATCATTATACATGTCTGTGGGTCATGGGTATAAATTCTTTGGCTAGTGTATTTCCTATACTGCACTTTACATCCCCATGGCTATTCTGTAACTACCTATTTGTACTATTATTTATTGTGTTATGTGTTTTATTTTGTTTTTACATTGACCTTATATATTAGAGAGAAAATGTAATTTTAAACGTTTCTACATTCTAAGCATGACATTATCTAGTTTTTTTTTTTCTACAGGGATACTTTTCTATGACATGAGACTTAGAATAACTGAAGTTATATTATAGGCAAGTCTTCAGGGATACTTGTTAGAATTAGGCTACAAAATAATTCACATCTTTTGAATTACAACCTGCCAGGATTACATTTCAATTTCATTCTTAATAGTTTTGTTTTAAGAAAACTTGAACAAATTGTTTTTCCATTGATAAAATATCTGTAATAGTAAGGGAGGGTCTTTGAAGTAATGGGGAAGAACAGTGCAAAACTCTCAAAGTATGTAGTTAAAGCCACTGTCCATGAAATCTTCATCTCATTTTGGAGTAAGCATATATTCATATGATTTCTTTAAGTGGGTTATTTATTTATTTATTGTATTTTTTTCATTATCATTCAAGTGTGTTAATTATTTACGAAGAACTAACCATATTATTATTAAATATATAGGGTGGGGTAAAAGTAGGTTTATAGTTGTTCATATGGAAAATAATATAATAATTAATGCATCATAATACAATAATAAATTCTGTGTTTTGTGTACACAATTATAAACTTACTTTTCCCCTATCTTGCATGCCCCAAATAACTAGAGTGAACATTTTTAAAATAGTAACTTAACTTCACGTACCCAAAAGTAAGATTTTTTTCCTTTCACATTGTGTATTCCCATAATTCCTTGTTGGCACTGACTAAATAAACATTGTTTTCCTACCTCTGCATAACCATATTTCCATTCTTCTGTGTCTGACACAGTATTACTGCAACTGAATTAGTGATCCTTGCTATTCTAATGCTTTTTACAAAAGATTTTATTTATTTATTCTTATGGAGAGGGGAAGGGAGGGAGAAAGAGAAGGAGAGAATCATCGATGTGTGAGGAAAACATTGATCATTTGCCTGATTGGTTGCCTGATCTGTTTGTTGCCTCTTGCACGTACCCTGCCAGCTGATCCACTGGCACCCCAGGCATGTGCCCTGACTGGGAATAGAGGCAGCAACCTTTTGCTTTGTGGGATGATGTCCAGTCAACTGAGCTACACCATTTTGGGTCTAATGCCTTTGATAGTTAATTTTTCTGGATGATCCACTGAGCCCTTTTACTTAATTTTAATCACTAATATGGAGTTAGCTGTAGATTAAAAAAAACCCTCCTGAAACTAGAAACCATCCTCAAGGAAAAAACTCAAAAACATTCAAATTCATGGAGATTGAATAGCATGCTATTAAACAGTTAATGAATTAATAATGAGATCAAGGAAGAAATAAAAAAGTTTCTGGAAATAAATGAAAATGAACACACAACAGTCCCAAACCTATGGGACACAGCAAAGGTGGTCCTGAGTGGGAAGTTGATAGCAATACAGGCCTACCTAAAAAAGATAGAAAGATTTCAAGTAAACAACCTAACCCTACATCTATAAGAATTGGAGGAATAACAATAAATAAAGCCCAGAACAAGTAGAAGGAACAAATAATCACAATCAGAGTTAAATGATATAGAGACTAATAGAACAATGACATAGAGACTAAAAGAACAATTCAAAGGATCAATAAATCTAGGAGCTGGTTCTTTGAAAAGATAAATAAAATCAACAAGCATTTAAGTAGACTCATCCAGAAAAAAGGGGAGAGGACCCAAATAAACACAATCAGAAATGAAAGAGGAGAGATTACAAATGACACCATAGAAATACAAAAAAATTGTAAGAAATCACTATGAACAACTATATGCTGAAAAATTTGAAAACCTACGTGAAATGGTCAAATTTCTAGAAAAATATAATCTTCCAAAACTGAATAAAAAAGAAGCAGAAAGCCTGAACAGACCAATAACAGCTGGTGAACTTGAAGCAGTAATAAAAAAAAACTCCTCGCACACAAAAGCCTTGGACCAGACAGTTGCACAGGAGAATTTTCCAAAACATTTAAAGAAGAGCTAACCCCTCTCCTTCACAGACTATTCCAAAAAGTCCAAGAAGAGGGAAGACCCTCAAACTCTGTATGAGATCAGCGTTTTCCTAGTCCCAAAACCAGATAAAGACACAACAAAGAAAAACTACAGGCCAATATTGCGAATGAACATACATGCTAAAATCCTCAACGAAATATTGTCAAACCATATCCAGCAACACATCAAAAAGATCATGCACCATGATCAAGTGGGATTCATCCCAGGGACGCAAGGATAGTACAATATTCACAAATCAATAATTGTAATACATCACATAAACAAAAGGAAAGACAAAAACCACATGATCATATCAATAGATGCAGAAAAAGCTTTTTATAAGGTACAACATCCATTTATGATAAAAATATTCAGCAAAGTGGGAGTAGAGGGAGCATACCTCAACATAATAAGGACGTATATGGAAAACCTACAGCCAACATCATACTCAATGGACAAAAACTAAAATCTTTTCCATTAAGATCAGGAAAAAGACAAGGGTGTCTCCTTTCACCACTGTATTCAATATAGCATTGAAACTACTAGCCACAGTGATCAGACAAGAAAAAGAAGTAAAAGGCATCCAAAATTGGAAAGGAGGAAGTAAAACTCATTGTTTGCAGATGACATGTAGTGTATATAGAAAATTCTATAGACTCCACCAAAAAAGTACTTGACCTAGTAAGTAAATTTGGCAGAACAAGAGAATACAAAGTCAATATTCTGAAATTGAAGGCATTTTTATAAATCAACAATGAAATATCAAAAACAGAAATCAGGAAAAAAATGCCATTTGGTATAGCAACAAGAAAAATAAAGTCTCTAGGAGTAAACCTAACCAAGGAGTAAAAGACCTGTACTCAGAAACTATGCAACACTGAAGAAAGAAATTGAAGAAGACACAAACAAATGGAAGCATATATCGTGTTTGTGGATTAGAAGAATCAATGTCATCAAAATGTCTGTACTACCCAAAGCAATTTATAGATTCAATGCAATTGCTATTAAAGTACCAATGACATATTCCACAGATATAAAACAAACATTAAAAAAATTTATATGGGACCATAAATGACCCCAAATACCTGCAGCAATCTTGAGAAAGAAGAACAAAGTAGGAGGGATCACAATACCTGACATCAAACTGTATTACAAGGCCACTGTAATCAAAACATTCTGGTATTGGCATAAGAACAGACACATAGATCAGTGAAACAGAGTAGAGAGTCCAGAAATAAACCCATGTTTCTGTGGTTAATTAATATTTGAGAAAGGGGGCAGAAGCATAAAATGGAGTAAAAATAGCCTCTTCAACAAATACTTTTGGGAGATTGTACACTTACATGCAAAAAAAAATGAAACTCAATCACCAACTTACACCATATACAAAAATAAACTTAAGATAGATAAAAGACTTAAATATAAGATGTGACACCATAGAAGTCCTAGAGGAGATCATAGGCATAAAAAAATCTCAGGCAGCAATATTTTCACTGATATGTCCCCTAGAGCAAGGACATAAAGAAAAGGATAAACAAATGGGACTTCATCAAAATAAAGATTTTCTGCTTGGCTAAAGAAAACATCAGCAAAGTGAAAGGGAACCAACTGTATGGAAAAATATATTTGCCAATGATACCTCAGACAAGGGTTTGATTTCCAAAATATACAAAGAACTCACATGACTCCACTCCAGGGAGGCAAACAATCTCATTAAAGAATGGGCAATGGACCTGAACAGACACTTATCCAAAAAGGACATACAGAAGGCCCAGAGATATATGAAAGGATGCTCAGAACCACTAGCCATCAGAGAGATGAAAATTAAAAACATAATGAGATATCACTTCACACCAGTGAGAATGGCCATCATTAAACAAATCAACAAACAGTAAGGGCTGGTGAGGTTGTGAGTAAAGGGACCCCTAGTGCACTGTTGGTGGGAATGCAGACTGGTACAGCCACTGTGGAAGACAGTATGAAATTTCCTCAGAAAACTGAAAATGAAACTGTCTTCTGACCCAGCAGTTCCACTGTTGGGATTATAACCTAAGAATCCCAAAACACCAATACAAAAGAGTCTATGCACCCCAATGTTCATAGCAGCACAATTTACAATAGCCAAGTGCTGGAAGCAACCTAAGTGCCTATCAGTAAAGGA